CATATTCTTATGCATGCCAGTGCTGGGTGTGCGGTAATTTAAGGTGGTTCTGACAAGTGTTGTCGGCATCTTCATATCCGGTCACATGGGTGGCAAGCCACTCCCATCCGGTCACATGGGCGGCAAGCCACTCCCACAAATGAGGCCACACCCACAGAGTAGGTTCGAACAATTTTTGAAACCCACCACTGCTGGAGAAGCATTTGACCAGAATGGAACCATAAGATCTCTTGACTTGAGCATGTGGTTGGTTTGTACCAGGAACTCCTTGTGATAGTACCTTCTCTATTTCTGGAAGTAAATTTGGTTTAGACCAGGGGTCTCCAACCTTGGCAACTTTAAGACTTGTGGACTTCAACTCCCAGACTGCTGGCTGAGGAACTCTGGGAGTTGAAGTCCACAAGTCTTAAAGTTGCCAAGGTTGGAGCCCTGCTTTAGATAACCCATGAACTCCAACAGAGATGACGCCAAAGGAAGAATCCTTGCACTTAGGGAAAATTAAAGAAAAACACCCATTTGACCTAAGCAAATAAAAATATCGATCATATTTGATTTCCCAGGGTTGATCAGTTATCCAAACACAACTGCTCGGGAGACTTGGCCAAAGATGTAAGGGGAGAGATTTTGCGTAGCGTGTTGTGCAAACAAAATGTGATGAGTTCAGAGATCCTTTCTTGAAGCATGTACAAGATTTCTGGGCCTGGCCCTCATCTTTGGGGCCTTGCCTTGAAATAGTTCGGGGCCTCCTCGTAGATCTGGAACTATTCAACTGCACCACACATCTCTTGGGAGAAAAAGAGGGATTGACCCAGCTTGGCAGAAAGCTCTCACAGTACTAGTGGATTCTGATCTGGCTAATAAATCTCCCTCCTTGAGATTCAGCGTAGCAGGAAGACATTATTTAAAGCAACACTGGTTTTGATAAAGACCGACAGAGTGCAAGATAACGGAGAGACGTAGATTGATAGCTTGGTGGAATCAGAAATTGTGGTTGAAGACCTCCAGATTGTCTTGCCCAACCGCCTTGACGCTGGCTGAGGGTTTGGGGTGATAAAATCCCTCACATCTGGAAGGCATAACAGTGGGGGGAAAGGCTCGACAACAGGGCTAGAAATAAGCATGATCCAGTCCCATGAGGTTAGGTAGACATTGTGCCATTCTGGTTCTCGGGTGGCATCTAAGCACACGTCCCACTCAAGCGAGGACAACCACTTCTGAAGAGCAGACTGGAATTCCTAAAGGATAACATAACCTCCTTATTGAACGGGTTGCTTTTCAGACTAATAAGGATTCCAAGAACCATCACCCACTCCCATAAAATGGAGGTGGATTCCTACCTATTCAGTCTGGTTCAGCTGAATAGGTAGTAACTCCGGCTGCCACATGACCATACCGGTTCTATCCTCGGCGGTGCCATCTTGATTTTCTGTTCTGCACATTCGCAAAACAACCTTCATTGAGAAAATGTCATTTTTATTCCTTTCTAAATGTTGTGCGCATGGGCAGATTGTCTTAAGTGCAAATGCGTGCGTGTGCGCCAAATTTTTCAGGCACCGAACCGGTAGTAGTGGTGGCTGGAGCCCACCCCTGCCTCAAACCCACAGCTTTCTGAGAAATGATGGATCCCTCCTGGTTACCCCTGTATGGCTGATAAAATGAAATTATCAGGAAAGTCCCACAGCTCCAGTGTACGCAGATTTCTTTTGTGAGATCAAGTCCCACCGTAGGTGTGAAAGCTGGCTGAATGACTTTGGGCAAGTCCTTCTCTCTTTCTTTCTCTTTCTTTCTCTCTCTCTCTCTCTCTCTCTCTCNGGAAGGGAACAGCGTTCCGTGCGCCTTCAGCATTGAGTCATGCCGGCCACATGACCACGGAGACGTCTTCGGACAGCGCTGGCTCTTCGGCTTTGAAACTGAGATGAGCACCGCCCCCTAGAGTCGGGAACGACTAGCACATATGTGTGAAGGGAACCGTTACCTTTATCTAACACCAATATTGCAGAAAGTTATGTTGGAAGTTTGCTGAACTCATTCACCAACTCTTTTGGGAAGAGAGCTGCCCGATTGTAAGCATCCAAACTCTCTCCTTCCTAATTGCAATTCTGGTTCACAATTTGGAAATTTGGCCCGTTTTCCCCCTACCCCACCCCACCCAGCATAGTTACTGCTGTGACAGGGAAAAGCGGCTATGTTGTTCAACATTTCCACTTCTCCCCAGCATAAAAAACCATCAAGGGTTTTCATTTGAACAGTGTGAAATGGGAATTCTCCATCCTGCGGGGGTTTAGCCGTTTTATCACTCAGTGTTCCAGGCAGACAATGGTGGTCTGCCCCTTGAATAGTTCTCATGCTGTTCAAATATCACTTCCCACCCCCCCTCCCTCCTTGGCAGCTTCCCATTCATAAAGGGAATATAAAAAAAAATCTATCTCCCTCCCTCCCTCCCTCCCTCTCCCCCCCTTCTCTCTCAAGCCCATTTCCAAACAATGCAGAGACTGCATTTCTCAAGAAATCAGCTGGTTTCCCAAGAATTGGTGATGAAGGCTAAGTTTTCAGAAACGTCCTGCTGCTTTGCTCATCGGAAAGCCAGTGTTTAAGCAACAAGAAAGATTCTGATGATAATTTAATCTGCTAAGGAACAAAGCTCTTCTCTGTGGCATTTGTTGCCAAGCTTTCAACACCTTATTTGTCTCCGTATCACAAGCATTCCTTTTGTGTAGTCCCCAAATTCTGAAAAGTGCAGATATCGGGGGGTGGGGGGAACACCCCTATCTTTGTGCGTAAGTTGAAGGATGTTGGGGTCACGTTCAGACCACAGCTTGGGTTGGGGTTTGCTTGTTGAGTCCAAGTTAAAAGTCTCTGTATTCCCCCAAAAAATGCACGATGCAACACACCCAGACTACAACACAATACAGAATGCAATGGCGGTTTTAAAAAAAGCTTTCAATCTTAAAAAAAATAAAATAAACAAATATATTTGCCCAAACAAGCAAGAATATTTTAGCCTAAAGGCAGGAAGACTGCAATGCTGTGCTGGGAGAGAATGACCAACAGCGAAAGAATTCTGTGCTCCTGCAATTCTATTAATTATAGAATATTTCACTCCTTTTTTCCGTGTGGCTCCGAGGATTTAAAAATGAGCCAGAGCAAAAGTGGGGAATTGGTGTCCTTGGCTGTCAGGAGTCTTTGGTCCAAGTTCAAAGGTATCAATAATCTTCCTATCCTGCTTTTAACCAAGTCCAATTTTGGCTTCCATTAGAGGCTCACGATGGAATACCCTAGCTTGCACGATTCCGAGATTGCACGATTCGATAGTGTTTATGCTACTTTATGTACCAAGATCTGCCTTTCTGGGAAGCGTCATCTTGTGATTCAGATGGAGTGAATGTTGGAACTTTGGAATGAATAAGCGAAGGGAAAGTTGCAGGCTGAGTGATGCAGGGAGATCTCAGAAAAAAGAGAATTAAGGATGGGAGGTGAAAAGGACCTAGAGGTAGTTTTGTTTCTGGTGGAATCTGGGGACCTTCTCATTTGCTATTTGACATGAGAAATCCTGATTTCCTCCCACTCTTTCCCCACTTAAGTCGGTCTCAAATGAACGTCAGGTCCAAATATTTGAAGAGAACCATTTGCTGATTGCTATTGACAAGCTTAAGTTGTGGTTGACTATGAAACCAGATTTTGACATGCACTGTACGCTTTCAGAAACAGAATATCTCTGCAAAATTTCATTGTTAACTTTTGAATCCTAGCTCCATATACCAGCATACAACCCCACCTTATATTTCTAGCATCAATTTTAAAAGTTTGCCGCCGCACTGAATATAACTGGCAATTTGCGGGTGATAATTCCTGCCCTGGACAATATGCTATTCCTTTTTTCCTAACATCAAGTTAGAAGAAACAAGAAATGGAGCTATGCGTTTACCCTACAGATAAAAGATGCTGTTTTCCCCATGCCAGGGGCTGAGATATATAGAAGGGAGCTTTTGTTCACAATCTTATCTCCCAGAGATTCAGTTTATCACCAGAAATGCCCAAAGATGTATTTCAATTTTCACTAAGAAGCGATTGTGGCCTTAGAAATATTAATTGAGAAAAACTTTTAAGACTTTCAAGCACAAATATTTATAGTTTTACTGAGAGGTGATAAGTGTTAGACTCAAAACATTTTCCTTGCGTAGTACCTGTTGTACCGGATAACCTTTTCCCACTATAGTTGCGCTTCAATTTTTATCTTTTTCTGATTCCGGGTTCAGCAATGACAATGAGGAAAAGATCACCCATGGTCCATATATGTAGCTGTCCCAGCACCATCTGAAATCTCTGGGCTGAAAAGGAGAAATTTCATCAATGACTCATCATTGATGAATGAGCATACATTGTGAGATCCATTTCCTGTGGAAATACGTAAAGTTGTGCAAAGTTAAGTGGAGCCATTTATAAAAGGAAAGATTTGAGATCCCGGGCAAAATCGGTCCAAAAGATTTGCCTATCCTTGTAAGGACCTTCCATCCATGAAATAGTTGCCTCTAGTCTTGTAGGACAGAAGAAGGCAAAGCTTTAAAAAAAACGGTAGGAAGGGTAACGTGTCAGTACCATGGACAGTTCACAAGAGATGATAGTAGTATTAAGGAGGAGAAGCAGATACTTGAAAGGTTATTCTTACGAAAGTCAACATCTACTCTACCTGGGATACTGTGGCTCATAATTACGTCATTGTTGAATCCTCACAACAACAGAGATGGATTTTCTCCATGACCACCTATTACTAGTTTGCTCTTCCAGGTCTCCCAATGGGACACTTATCACTGCCGTAACTGTCTGCTTCGTAGTTAATTATTACTGTCTTCAATACTTTAATTTCTTTTTCTTTCATTCGTTGTTTTTTTCCTCATTGTTTCCGCAGCACTACGGAGTCGATCAGGGCGTGCTATTATCAATGGGAATTGGGCAATTGATCGACCTGGGAGATACGAAGGAGGAGGAACAATGTTCGTCTACAAACGACCCAACGAGATCTCAAGTACTGCTGGGGAATCCTTTTTAGCAGACGGCCCAACCAATGAAATCTTGGATGTCTATGTAAGAATCAAACATCACTTCTTCATTGAGCTAGGCACTAGGGGAACCATCCTTAACAGTTAGAAGTTAGGAAATCGTTTACTCGTGGATGAAATAGTTTTCTAGGCTAATTTTCCATTTGGGTTTGTTGAGAGGGAAGTCAGAGACCTGGGCAGGTGTGTGTTTGCGTGTGAGTGTGTGTGTGTGTTTATAACCTGGTGTCAGACCTGCCTCAATTTGAACCTTTAAGTGAGAATGATCCTTAACTCCGTTTGTTAAGAAAGGTATAGTTTACTAAAGGTCAAGTGAAATACAGTAGAATAGAAGAGAATATAGAAGAGAAGAGAATATAGAGTAGAGTAGAGTAGAATCGAATCGAATCGAATCGAATAGAATAGAATAGAATAGAATAGAATAACAGAGTTGGAAGGGACNCCTTCCTTCCTTCCTTCCTCATGGAAGGAAAGAAGGAAGGATTTTCTTTTGATACTGCTGTTGAAAGAAGGAAAAAACCAAGGAAAAGAATGGTGTGAAAAGCTATTAATATTTTTGGTTGAGTCCTATTGAGGCATGACATGAGTGAAGTTCGGTATTTGGAAGAATTATTCGCTTAGCACATGCAAAGGAGCCGGCATTAAAAATGATGGTGGGAAAAAGCCCACAAATTTGATTAATGTGCAAGCTGAAGTTATTTCTGCTGTGTGAAGAATGTGTTTGGAAAAAGCCTAGAGTTATATTTCTGTCTTGGGTGGGAGCCGGGCGTCTCATCGCGATTAATTCTTGCAGCCGGGCCTCTGCTGAACACTTTCCCCATGTTTATCCCGGTCTGCCTTCTCAGTTTTGAAATATTTCCCTTGAAATGTCACCTTGAAAGAAAATGATGTATAAAGGCAGAACAAAACCTTTGAACAGAAATCTATAGTTACAAGGAGCGAGCGAGTGCACAAAGCAGCACATTCCAACAAAATTATGTATTTGTCCTTGGGGAGAAGATCTTTGTTGGATTGTTTGGTTGGAAAACATCAGTGAGATTCGGGTTACTTTCTGCTCCCCACCCTGGCACATTTTGATCAGCCAGCTCTCATGTATATGGATGTAAAGTCAGCAGGGTATCGTTTTTTTGTAGGATGTCGCATGCATGCAAAAGTTAAATAAAGGTTCTTAGAACCTGGGAAAATGGAGCAGCTGGCAACTGGATGTGTAGGACACCTCAAAGTCAAGGAGCAATGGAGGAAAATGGCATAGGGTTGTCTGCTTGAAGAGGATGTTGGACTAGAAGGACCAGGGGAGACATGATAGCAATATTCCCAATATTTGAGGGGCTGCCACAGAGAGGAGAGGGTCAAATTATTTTCCAAAGCACCCGAAGGCCAGACAAGGAACAATGGATGGAAAGATTCAACTTGGAAACAAGGAGACATTTCTGACAGTGAGAACAATCAACCCATGGAACAGAAGTTGCCTTCAGAAGTTGATGACCTACAAGGTCCCTTCCAATTCTGGTATTCTGTATTCAGTGGAACAGAAGTTGCCTTCGGAGGTTGTGGGAGCTTCATCACTGGAGGCTTTCAAGAAGAGACTGGACTGCCATCTGTCAGAAATGGTGTAGGGTCTCCTCCTTGGATAGGGAGTTGGACTAGATGACCTATAAGGTCCCTTCCAACTCTGGTATTCTGTATTCAATGGAACAGAAGTTGCCTTCGGAAGTTGTGGGAGCTTCATCACTGGAGGCTTTCAAGAAGAGACTGGACTGCCATCTGTCAGAAATGGTGTAGGGTCTCCTCCTTGGATAGGGAGTTGGACTAGATGACCTACAAGGTCCCTTCCAACTCTGGTATTCTGTATTCAATGGAACAGAAGTTGCCTTCGGAAGTTGTGGGAGCTTCATCACTGGAGGCTTTCAAGAAGAGACTGGACTGCCATCTGTCAGAAATGGTGTAGGGTCTCCTCCTTGGATAGGGAGTTGGACTAGATGACCTACAAGGTCCCTTCCAACTCTGGTATTCTGTATTCAATGGAACAGAAGTTGCCTTCGGAA